ATGGTCGAATCGAAATAAAAAGTATATATTCGGAATCAGCTTTTCAAGCTCTATCAAATCATATACGTATGAACGAGAAAAAAAATCCCCTGTAATTTTGCCTTTCCCGCACCTTACTAAAACTACGAAAAATAGTAAAAAACTATTGCTTATGAATCATTTTGATGAATGATTTCTTGCGCTGTCTCAAACATTTTTTTTGATATCTTCCTATAATCATTGAACATGAAGTTGTATAAATATTCTACGGACTATTATTATTGATCAATCGTTTTTTGGCAACTTCTTATTTTCAATTAATTTTTCGAAATAATAATTTGTCAAAAATATGACAAAAAATACAGTTGGTTTGAATCATTCTTTTTTTTTTCTTTCTTCCGTCTACTTTTCTCTCTCTCTCTCTCGTTTTCTTTTTGTTGTGCTTCATTGCACATGTGCATCATTAAATTTATACACGCATTTCACTGCAAGTGGGATCTATAGAAAGACAACCCATAACTCAAGGCAATGCATCAACGTCGAAGTAAGAGTGATTCAAAATCAACAAGTAGCATCCATTATTCATTGTCATCGATGCCTACAACAAACAATTCTTCTTCAGCATCAACAACTGGTCGTGTTAGTATCTATTCAATGCGTGAACGAGTGATGCTAAATAAGATGACGAACATCGTCGGAAAATTGGCACCAGGTGCTGAAACAGAAGTTACCAGTCGATTACATCAAGAAGTACCAGCTGTTCGACTTGATGGTCATCTTACTTATTGTTTATATATTACGTTTCAAAATTTAATTCATTTAAATTCTATTTATATTCTATTATATCATGCAGCTTTTTGGCTAAGTTCACAAAATGCACCGAAAGAAAACCTGCTATTCTCTCGATTAATTGAACAAACAAACGAAGAACAAACGCATTTTATTGCCATTGCCAACGATTATTTTTCAATAGAAAGAAAATCTATTAATACAGATCTCGTAAATAAATATATTTATATAAGTTTAGTTTTTGTAAGTTCAATTGAATTAATATGTGCATTTCTGTGGACTATAAGGAAAAAGTTACCATATTTAATACAAAGAAACGAAAAATTAGAAAATTGTTTAAATAAATTATTAATTATAACAATTATTATGATTTATATGGTATTTATTGCTTGGCTTATTTATCATACATATATTACTCATCAATTGAATTCAATATTTTGCTTGTTAATTTGTAGCCATTTAATAATTTTAAACATGTTTGATAAGCCTAATCTATTTCAAGAATCACCTTACGATTTATTAGAACAATCAACAACAACACGTCTACAATATCGTAATTCAACATCATCGTCTTCGACGTCTTCAATGGCAACAACTGCAATGGGTCGACTTTCTTATCGTTCATCCACTTCTATGCTACCTCGTAAAGGTAATTCCATGGTTAATTTATCAACAACGTCGCCATCGAAATTTTCATCATGGTCTCGATGGTCATCCATAACTGAAGAAAAAGTTGAAATACATGATTGTTCAACATTCTATTCACATGCTAGAAAAGAAGCCGATGACTTATGGCCCAATGTTGTTCGAAGAATTATTCTAAATTTTTATCGAACATTTGCTTCGTTCATTCTATTTGATTTAATTCCAATTAAAATGGCAGGTAAATTATAAATTTTACGAACTTCTTATTTTCAGATTCTAAGGATAAAATTAGAATTATGGTTTTAATAAAAATATTGAAATCGTTGCATTAAAATATCAAAACATGAATAGTCTTGATATTGAATTCAAAATATCTACTATCTAATTGATATATTTGAAGGAAATTTATTTCTTTTAATGAAAACTATATCTGTTAGCAGAATTCTTCATAATAAAGAGTTCAACATAAATTGAATCACATAATATTATCGTTGAATTCCGATCACTGATAAAAATAATAAATGAGGAAACATCGGATTCGCATCCGATTGTTACGTATACTGCAAAAATGGAGTCGATTTATACATGTTTTGAATAATTCTGAGAAAAGAAAATGTTTGGAAAAAATCCCTGTCCCCCCCCCGCCCTCATGGATGGTCTTGTCAATAATGACAATTTTTTCGATAACTCAGCCATTTCTTGACGGATCCTTCTCATCGTCGAACTTGACCGAGATATTGATGAGATAATGCTGTGTACAAAATTTCATGACAATCTGATCAGCCTTTCGAGAGTTATCGTGTAAACGGCCGGCCACAATGACCGATTCTATAGTGTACTCACTGTTTTTTTTTGAGTACACAAAAATGATCCGTGACAATGACGAACGATTAGTCATCCAAAGCGTTACTAACATGAAAAATATGTCTAAACTTGCATGCATTAGTCAGCTCTTTTAAGTACAGATAATAGAGAATGTTAAAGTCTTGTTACAAGGATTAATTTGAATTCCGTCGTTCTTTAAGTCGATGATCTCAAAGTCAATATATATTTTTTTTACTATACACGAGTAGATCTATGTTCTAATCAAGTATTTCTAAATAGTTTTCTCATCTTTGTCACCGATAGAGATAAAATGCATACTCCAAACGTTCCAAACAGCAGAGTTGTTTTTAGGTAAGTCACACAATACAGATAATGTGTAAGCCTCTTTTTTCATGATTACAAAAGAATTCCTGAGGGGTTCAAATAATTATTAACAATCTAGCAAACTTTTTAAATGTAACTCTTTCATTTTGGACGTTAGGGGGAAAATAGTATGTGCGCTGTAAAATCTTTAACTCGAATATCTATCGAATTAAAGTTATCATTTCCTTTCCAAGTTTAATGAGCACTGCTTCTAGTCAAGATAGCAGACAAAACGAATTGAAGCTTATCTAATTTTTGCTCAATAGTGGAACTTTTCATTTTCATGACCAATCTATAGCTAAAGTAATCGTAGATTCAAAACTTATGTTTGAAGTAACAATTACATTGTATTTTATTCATACAAATACAAAGCTTCGGTTTACTGTAAAACAATATAAGATATACAATTAATTATTTACACTGAACAATCTGTTTATAGTTCATGAATTCTAATCCAACAATATTCTATTGTGTTTGCTAAATAACTCATTCAAATTCTTATAGAAATATTTACTACGCCGGTTGTAGATCATATTAACAGTGTCAATTACTTTTCTTTTTCCTAAAATTTTGAAAAATTTCGATCTATCCTATCTTTCAACATCATCGATCGTCTTTTTCAATGATTGAACTTGAAAAGAATTTTATATAAAACGTATAGTTTTCGTTGAGTGAAACTAAAAGCTTTTTTTATTCAATTAACATAATAATTTATTTTAGACACACATCTACGTTCGACGGAGAATCAACCATTAAAATTTTTAATTACTCTATTTACACTCAGCACATTTATAACTCACAGTGCATTTTTATTTCCTGTTAAACTTCAAACAACTCTTCATCGTATAGCAGCACATCTTGGTCAATGGCGTCAACAATCCAATATTCGAACAGATACAATCAATGAATGGTCATCTGAATGTAATTCATATACACGTGGAAGTGTGATTAAATTACCTTCAAATCATCAATATTATATTGCTATACAACATTTAAGTAATGCTGCCAATCCTCAATCCAAATCTCATTCAATGCTCTATCGATTATTTGGAGATCCAACATACTTTCTAACGATTCAATTCATTCTATCTATTGTTCTTGTTTTGTTTCATATTATATGGATTGCACGTGGTGCCCATTGGGAGCAAATAATCATTGGTTATTTACTCATTTTCTATAGTTCATATCCAATATTCAAAATAGTACGTGACAGAATCATAATGGATCTTGTTGAAGAACATGAGTATTTTCAAACATCAACAATATTAAAACAAAAGAAATCAAGTTGAAAAATAAACAATTTAATATTAAAAAAGCAAAAAAAGAAGCACTACATCAAACATTCATTTGATATGGTATGTGTACAATGGATATATACCTATAAAGACAAAGAAAAGATTAATTGTTCCGTTTCGTTTTCTTAAAATTTTTTCATTGTCTGTTTACCTGAAAATTTTACGTCAACCGTTTCGGGTAATCTTGGGCTATATTCATTATTGAATATAGTTGTGGTGGATTTCGAATGAAAACCTGAACTATTTGTTGATGATTCATTGGATAAGTTATCCAATACAGTTTTTGTATTGTGATTATTAAGCGATGTTGTTAATAAATGATCTAAACAAATTTATAATCAATAGTGTTGTAGTTTTTATCAAGAATCATAATCTTAGTGTTAATAACATTTGGCATCATCTCCTATTTTATTTTAATCTTCAAGAAAAGTTATCGTCACTATAAATATTTATTTGAATTAGTATTCAACTGAAAAGGAGATTTTTTTAGGATTTCGAAAAATCTGTTAATGTAAGGCCAGTGAGATTATATTATGAAATCGAATATCGGTATGGCTACGAATAAAACGAAAGATTATCAGATTCTATTTACGCAGAGAAAGATTTCTTCAATATATTTTGATGCCATCATTCTGTGGTGCAATGAAACATCAATTCATACGTTATGACAAGACGCTATTGATATTCGACCTGTGGAAAATTTCCACTTTTCAACTCTATACTTTGTTATGACTTTTTATCGCATTTTTAATCATAACTAAACTTGGAGTTGGTTTTCCATCATTCCATTTAAGTTTGAAGCTATTTTCAGATATTCACATTGAAGAATCGAATATAGAGATTTTCAACTAAAACGTTTTCGACATGATAATATCATGAAAGTTGCACAAATTGTTTGCTGTGAACAAAAGATGCGCGTCGTGGAAATGTTTGAATAAAATACAAAAATTAATTTCATTAGTTGAAGTTACAGGTTTTTGGTTGAGAAATTTCCACTGTGAATCTTATTTCAGTAAATCGTTCTACTGAAAAGCTGGTGATTTTCTATTAGGACACATCTCATTCATATTCAATCTATCAAAAGTTCTATTATATGAAAGTGTTTCTCCACTGATTTATCATTGAAAAACTAGTATTATCGGCATGACACACAAAACAAAGTCAAACTCTTCCTTTGCTTGTAATTTCTGTCTAAGAACACTAGAAATTTTCTAAGAGCTAACTAATGTGTTTTATATCGATATTTTCAGGATACGAAATGTTGACCAAAACTCCTTTCCGATCATGAGTAGATATTTCTAAAACCTGACGATATACTAATATATGATAGAATAATCGGAGAAGTCAAGGAAAAAAAAGTACTGAAACTCATTTCAAATGGCTCAAGTCTTTCATTAAAAAGCTTTTAAGCTGCTGATTAAATAAAATATCTTTCCTTACAGATGAATAACCAATTAGAGACCCGTTTTTTCTAAGTTCTTCTAGTTGAAAAATTTACTTCATATCGAATTTGTGGCATGAAGTCTATTCTGAAATTCTTAGAATTTCAGCTAATGACATTAGCGTACAATTTGCTAATTCAATTTGAATTAATTAGCAAATGTACTTGAATTAAGTGTATACTGAAAGAAACATCTTGCCAATGTAGCCAACTATGATTATCCTGCCATCAATAGATAATTAGAACGTGCGAGTATTTCTTCATGATTAAACAGTCGACTACAAAATCTTTTGAAATATTCACGTTACTAATTGATTGACAAAGTTTTTATAGAATATTACCAAAACTCGGCAGATTCCTGGTAAATATATTCATATACTCCGATGAGATTTCGCAAGATACTCGAAAATATAAGCCGCTGACGTCATATTTAATCAACAGAAACTTGAAACTTACTAATTACATTCATTTGGAGTAACACTCGTTAGCAAAACAAAAAAGAAACAGGAAAAAGAAAAAGAAAAAGAAAGAATCAAAAGCAAATCAAAGATAGTCCTTTACCATTTCCATTGATTTAAGCATTAGTTCAATTATTATTTTAGTAGTCTTCTTTAAAACAAAACAAAAACTAACCTGTTGAATCCATTTGTAATGATAATTTGTCAGCGTTGTTCATTGAAGTATTACACGTTCTTAAAGATCCAACTTCTTTAATAAGTTCATTAATTGAATAATGTTCATCATAAACAACGGGAAGTTTTTTATTGTTTAAACATTTATGTCGTTTTCGAATTCTTCGTACCCGACAACAACAATATATAGCTACAGCAGAGAAGAAAACTATTAATATAAATGTACTTAATATAATTGATAGTAAAATTATAGTTGGATCTAGTGAAATACAAAACAAAACATTTTCAACGAATCAAAAAGAACAATAGACTGCTTTTTCTGGCTCACCATCAGATGTATTCATTTGATACAGACGACTTTGGTCAATGCCAAATTCATTTTCTCCTATACATGATAAACGATTAAGAATCTTTGATGATGGAATTATTCTTGGATAATCATAGACTAATTTTGATATACAACTGTAATCGCCACATGTAGTTGATATAGATAACTGATCGGAAGATGCAATCGGTTGATCATTTAATCTCCAACTTATTCTCTAGGTAGACAAAAGAATAAATAGCAAAATTCATTTGTGTTTCAACTAATAATACACACAAGAATCGGACTAGATGAATAAACTTGGCATTCAAATAATCGATTGTATTGTTTCGATTCTTGAATATAAATTAACGGTTTACCTTCAGAAAATTGAAAATATCAAATTTTACTAGAGAATAAAAGAAGAGTCCAAACTAAAAATACCTTTCATATAGATAATGAAATCGCTCTTAATTGTTTCAAAACCTTCTGTTTCAATGCGATACGAATAAATCCCTTGTTGCTCTCGTTTAGTTATATTTTCAAGATTAAATGATAAACCTTTCGCTATTATTTCTCCATAACGATGCCAAGTTATTTTCGCACGAGGATATGAATCAACTATACAACGAAGAATTGTTGGCTTCAATGAAGATTTACTATTCAAATCCACAACAACAAATTTTGGTGGACGAACAATAAATGTCGGTGGATCTATAAATCAAAAATATATGAAACTCTATAAAAAAAAATATTTTTCAAGTCTTTCCCGTCATATACTTGATTTTCAGATACGTATATATGTGCTAAGTCAACGATATAGATAGTTTCGAATTCATGGGTTACTGAAAGAAAATGATGACCATTGCAATAGATTGCTAGTTTCTACTTGAATTTTTCATGATAAACAACATTGTAAGATATTCATCCGAAATTCGACTCATAATTAGTTCGAATAATCATTTTACTATCTCAAAAATTCTTGCATCTTCTTTTGCACTATTCATGAGATATCAAGCATCTATCAAATGCTACTGTATTGGCAGGTAAATCATGGAATCAAATTGTCTCAGACGTTTAATATTTCAAGAAACATATAAATTCGTTTGCGCTGAAGTTTCTAGAATATTGTAATGGTCATAAAATTGGTAGGACATAACAGTGGTATATATTCCCGCATAAGAATTCCATTTTTCAGACTTCAAAAGTTTTTTCTTTCCTACAAATATCTGACATAAAAATTCAATTTCATGTTGAGAAATTTTTACTATGCACTATTGTGCGTTTTATTCTGGAAAAAACAAATTGTCCTTCATGTACAGAATCTAATGATACTTTGATCTTCCTGAATTTTAAGAGCAAGATTCTTGCAGCTCTCAAACTTGCAGATATCAAAAAATTCGGTTCAAGCTCGCATAGAAAATCGGGAAAAATCAGAAAGAGAGTGAGAGAGATTTGTTTTTTTTTACAATAATTAGAAATGCTTACATCGAATTAATAATCGAATACTTGTGTTAGTCATACCAACTGAATTTATAGCTGTACATCCAATGGAATGATTATGTACATGTTTGGATAAAGGGATGTTAACTGTTGGACTCGTTAATGATGTTAAATCCATTGAATTAGCAAACCATCTAAAACGAAAGTTTCATGATCAAACCATGTTAATAGAAAGTTAGAAAGGAAAATTTTACTTCAATTGAGGTTCGGGATTTCCATGAACAATACAACGAAATGTTGCTGTTGAGTTAATATTTAGAGGAGAACGATTTTGTGATTCAATACGTGCTCGTGGTTTATCTAAATTATATTAATAATACTCACGCTATTAAATAAGAGTTTGATTTTATGAGAATTCGATTTTATTAGAACGGAAAATTATTTCAAAAATACTTTATATTTCATAAAAACTTTCTATCTTGAATTCATACCAACATTATTATAACTGGATATTATGTTGCATCTCTATGTAGAGGGAAAACAAGAAGGACATCCCTGTCGTTTGTCTACCTTGCAGTACGTATGAGTTGCTGCCTACCAGAAGATTTCATATTTTCAATATCTTTTCTATAATTATAATTAGTTATATAGCCTTGTACACAAAGTCAGTTTGGTAGAGAATTTTCGAGCTCAATTGTTTGAATTTTCCATAAATGTTATCTAATTATAAAAGCAGCTTTGTGTCATAAACTAATTGGTATGCTATCTGGGCGAATAATTCCAAAAAAAAACGTCTGTTAGTAATTTGTTCAGCCTCAACCAATGCCTGTTATTACTGAAGTTTGAACCTAGTATCTTGTGAATGTATGCCGAAGAACACAACTATTCAGCCATGACGTCAGCTCTCAATGGGCTACGTGGATGGAGGTCCCGTTCAAACGAGAGCAAGAAGGCGTGTCCTCTCTCCTCATAATTGTAACAAATTTATTATTACTTATCATCAGTAGGAAGTTTTTTTTTGAAATTTTACACAAACTTTGTTGTGAGACACTTTGTTTTGCAGCTTATTAATCTTTACATCATTACTAAAAGTTCTCCGTATGAGAACTTTACTTAAAAAAGATTGAAATATTTTCTCGCCACAAACAAGTCAACATTTTATCAAAGAACTTACAATATACATTTAGTTTTGCGATAACATATAATTGAGGATTGTTTGCAAATTCATAAATTTGTTTACATTTTACAATTGCATTATGCCAACTACTATCTGGATCATCAATTGTATAAATCAGTTTAGTTACATTTTTATTTGTATCTTTGTCTAATTCATAAACATATTTTGCAGATGATAATTCACTTTTTATGATTTCTTCATTTTTATATAAAATTAATTCAGATGCCGGTTTCGATGGAGATGACACACAAGTTATATTTGTTGATTGACCTTGTTTTAATGGCATAATTGGAAGTAATAATTTTGGTTGACCCATTGGCGGAGCTTAGAAGAGACAAAGAAAAATAAAGAAAAAGAATGAAATATTTCAAGTATTTGTTTTACATACCAACAACAGTTAAATGAACACGTTCTGAACGTGCTTCGTGTGCACGCATTGTTCTTTGTATTTGACATTGAAAGATTCCCTCATCTTTATCTGATACATCAGTAATCGATAAGTTATAATGGTCTGAACATGAACAAAAGAAAATACCGAAGGTAGACTCACTAAATCATTTATTTCATTCATTCATAAATAAAATAATCTACAGATGTTGCATCATCAAATGTACTTGTCGCTTTTAAAAAATTACACTATTCAAATCAATTAAATATTGATAACATGCGTATATTCATTTTTTCTCTCATCTGTTTCAATAAATATTTGCTGGTCTCTTTTCCTTTTATTTATAAATTGTTCTTCATACGAAATAACAATATATATATAATACTTCAATAAGAGAAGAAGATGTAAGCATTATCAGCTGTACAAAAAAAAGAAGAAGAATAGTTTCTATAATTAAAAATAAATCAGCACTTCTGGTGTAATGTGATAAAAGGGAAAATATATTAGTTTTGCATGAAATATACTCTATGGAATCGATTCTTAGTACTACTTTTATCTCTATAGATTGTGCGAAAAGAATATAATTGATATGATACATACTAAGACGTTCATTGATAGATAATCGAAATTTTGGATACGCTGCATATTGGTAAATACTTATTAGACCATCGTGTGTGGCTTCATGGCGTACTAATTGTGCTTTACCTAATGTACAAAAATCATTCCAACACCATGTTACAGTAGCATCGAATTGTTTCGAAACAATGCAAGGAAACTGTATTGTTTCACCTGGATATGCGTAGATACTATGTGGTCCAATAAGAATATTTTGGTTGATTCTTGGATGAGCTAATATTGAAAGAAAAAAAGATGAAACAGAAGAAATAAGGAAAATTATATAATAAAATGTTCACCATATTCAAATGCATTAACATTTTTAATTGTCAATGAAAGTTTAATATATACGATCATGTATAATGATAATTGTTGTTGATAAGTGGAAGTCATATTAAATAAACTAAAAGACAACGTATCGTAGTATGAATGAATAAATAAATGGCGATTGAAAGACGTCTTCTGATTAACATCTCTATATTCAGGGAGATTCTATCAGATGCATCTATGCATCCATTCAATATAAAATTACTTTCATAGTGCAGATTTATGCATATATATATATATATATATCTTAAATTATGTCCTTCCAAAATACGCATATATAAAGAGAGAAAAAGAATAAAGAGACACGACACAAACCTTGTCCGTTCTACGTTGATTTCATCGAGTACCTTGATTTACAAAACTATGTATGAAAAAAATGAGAAGATATGAATGACTTTTAATGATTGAAATGCTCATTTTTTAAAGAGGATAATAAAAATCAAATGAAAATTTACTATCATATCATCACTCGAGCAAACGACATTGCGTCAATTAAGGGCTTTTACTTATGTTCATTTAATGTAATAATAAGAGCTAGTACGAGACAGCATACATACATATATTGCTATGGCGGATGGCAAGAATGTATAGAAAATTTCCCTCTGATTGTATACGAAGATCTTACTTTGTGAAACTACGTCGGATTGTTTGTCTTGAGTGTGAACTGTTCCGTAGTCATTAGTCGACTAAGTGAATGCGAGTATTGTTTAATATTATTACACAAGATAATCTAGCGATGTCTTTATACATTAAGCATAGAAAGAAGAATAATGCCCATACTTACATATGCAATGCGCAGCTTATTTAAACAGAATAATAAAGCGATGGAGATAGAGATCAGCAAGTTAATCATTCTCTCTGTGTCTCCCTTTCTCTTTCTTCGCACGTCTATTCAATGATTACCTCAATAAGTGTTAGTCTCCCTCTTCGTCTTTCTAGAAGATAGACTCTGATTATTGTTTATATAAAGCTAAGTTTGACTGTTGTCCATATAAACGTAGAGATAGATAAAATTAAATGCACATAGATAACATTGAGCATAGCATAGAATGAACATAGAGAGCGAGAAATGTCCATATAATTATATGATTTTTTATTATATGTTGAAAGAGAAGAAAAAAAAAGAGAAGATTGCATGAATGAGGTGGTACTAATTCTAAAAGTCATCCGTCACACCTTGCCGCGGAACATATGTGTTCACAGGTCAAAAAAAGAAAATCAAAGCCATCGAAAGGAATGTGTAATAAAAGCAATAGTCATTTTATTCGCCATTAATTCACACCACACCCTTACATTACTCTGATGTTTGTATTGAAAAAAACACTCAACTGTCAATTGACAATCAACTAGAAGATGCTAATCAATTGTAACCTTCTTATTACCAGTTTTACATATGTATGCTACGTACCAGCTGTTGAATTTGTATTATCGAAATAGAAATTAACAGACAGGGAGGAGAAAAAGCAATTTTTTTTTGAATTCATCAAAATCGCAATCATTTCTTTCTCTAGCATATCTCACTATGAAAAATGATGCTTGTAACAATCCTAATGTAGTATCCCATGATGACTTTCTATTCATGGGAGAAAGAAAAATAAAGTGTTATTCCAATACAAGAATAGGCCATTTTTTCTCTCTCTTTTGTTGTACAGAAGAGAAACTTCATTTTCATAAACAATGACCACTTGTGTGTGTACGAACTTCTGGTGCCACATTGATTAATCTTCGTTTATGCTCTATTGCACACTTCGATATAAAAATGAGATGAATGAGACTCTCGAGAATTCTTTTCAATGATGATGTAACAAACATTCATTTTTTGAATGACCTTGTTGAACTTCTATTTTTTTCTGCTTACAAATAAAACGAAGGTGAAAAACAAGATGAGAAATACGCACACGAAAAAAAACAACAACAGCAAGCAACAGATCAATCATTATTCTTTCCGGTTTATAACTCTCTACATCATTTATTATTATTATTACTTTTTCATTTAAATGACAGTATGACAAAAGTAACAAAGCGTTAAAGTCACGTAATCATCATCATCATCATCATCATGTGTCTGCTGAGTTTTCTTTTGTCTTATATGATAAGAAAAAGTTGAAACAAATGAAGTGTTATTCTCATTACGACATATGTACATTCGCACGAATCACAGCTAGATTAAAATAGTTTTTTCTTTTTGCCGTTCTCAAATTACTGTTGACATTTGTAAGACAATAGTAGTTAATCGTAGAAAATTAATTAAATAAGTTTCTAAAGTACTACAGACAATCATTTCGTCATCTTGTAAAATAGTTTGTTTTTTTGCTTCAGTGAAGTTGCAACCTGTTTTTTAGTAGCTATTCAATAAGTATAGAAAACGAGTTCGATTGATTTTTAACAAAAACAAACTCGTGTTGATCTGATACGTCAGCAACTCTTTGATCCTGAAGAACTTCAGACCTTCTAATTCAGTCTACTTTGTTGAAAATATTATTAAAGAATATTTAATTATTGTAATAGAATAAACTGTATGATAATTAAAAAAGCAAATTTTCGAAAATGCATTTTTATTTGCGATAGAATAAAGATATTATAAATATCACAGATAGTCTTTATGATAGATATTTTCGTTTTTTCTTTGTGCGAAAGTAAAAATAGTTTTAAATATAGGTCATACATTGAACTAGAACTTTGATAGGGATGTTGTAATCGACACGATACATGAGCATGTTGATTCCTTCAGTTGATTCGCATTTTGTCAAACAGTTAATGATCACGATTCTAACTGTCGATATTCATTTGAGATTGTAATTATTGGCGAATGATTTGTTTTTTAAATTTGATTTTATGTTTAAAATGTTTTTGCTATTTTTTTAAAGTTGCGGAAATAGCATAAAGAGAGATGACAATGATATTTAAACTATTAACTATGACGTATTTTAAATTGAAAAGAGAAATTATATTCGGAACTATTTCATTATTTAAATGTTAATATTTAAAGTTCTTTGTTCGTGTATGATAATCCAATGATTAGTGGAGTGAGAGTTGTGTTTTTTTTCCATTTTTTAGTTGAAAGATAAGAAAAATTTCATCAGACTTTATCAATATTATGAAATACAAGTTTAAATTAGAGATGCCAAACTTACTTATCATTTTAAAAAAAGAATTTACATATATTTGAATATGAAATGAATCAAAGTAATTGTTTGTCGTCATCGGATATCGATCAATTTGCTCAGCGTTTTGACAAGCCAGATGTTGTTCAAGCAATAATACTTGCAGGTAGCTATGCTCACGGCGAAGCAGATCCGCATAGTGATATTGATCTTGTACGATCTGTATCTTCTGGATCAAACTTATTAAATGATGGAACATATTTACATGAGAAAAAAATGCTTACTAACCTATTGACAGTGAAATCAGAAGAGTACACAAAATGGTTCACTGATCCTTGTGAAGCTACAAAATGGATAGCAGGAATACGAATAGCACGCGCAATTATAGATCGGGAAAATTTCTTTTTCAACGGATTACAAGTACGTGCTCGTCATTTTTTGGGATTTAACAATACAAAAACGTGCTACTATTGAAGTCAGCCATCAGATGGTAGCTTGGTGTGAAGAAGCACATAAAGGTTTAGAAGGACTACGACGTAATGATGACATAGGTCTTTTACTTAATGCATGCCATGGATTATCATGGGGTTTATGAGAAGTTATACAAATTCAATATGGTATATTACTATCCAATGATAATAATGCTTTTATGGAAGTAGAATTAGCATTAGATGAAAATACGTAAATGATTAAACTTCTTCGTATTGCATTTGGAATTGTTAGAAATTATACATTACGCCAACGGGTGATTGCTGGGCTACAATTATGTATTAATTGTTGCACAGGTGTCGAATATTTGGGAAACAAGATATATGGAAATCATTGAACATACTGCTAATCAAATGCGCAGTTTTATTCCAAATGTTTTTTCAGACAAGCTTTTAAATGAATAAATAAAAACACTTCTTATGTATATAATAATTTCAAAACGAAATGAACTTAAAATGATGGCGTATAATGAATAGGTTTGAATTGATAAAAAAAAACAGATGATACATGAAAAAAAACTAATACTCTAATGATATGAATAGAACTCCAGTTACTTCCTGTATGGATTCTTTTTAGAATCTAAAGAATAGCTTATATATATAGTTAATTCATAATGAATGTGTGATTATATACGCAGATATGTAGCTATTCATCCATGAATGTTTGATTATATAGGTAGATATGTAACTATTCATCAATGGATGTCATAGAGAATCAGTTGAAATGAAAAGTGAAATAGTAGAAAGAGATGATTTGGGATTCATTTTTAATAAATTTTTATTTAGATAATAGACTAGTGCAGTCCTTTTTGTTTTTTGTAATATCGATTAATACTTATGCTTGTTTGAAAAAATAAAAAAGATGCTATTTGATCTTGCTTATTATATGCCGATGTCAAAAAAATCAATAATATAAAAATATATTTGCCGGACTAATTGTTGAACATTTGATAATTGACGATCTTGTCACATGGGACCATTAGAATTGGGTTTTCTTTTTTTTTTACATATATACCATTTTAGTACGCTTCGATAAAACTTGCAAGGGATGATATTTTTCATGATGAAAAGGAAATAAAAAAATTATTAATTGTCATAATAAATGAAGAATAATACACAATTAGTTTGTATTTAAAGCTCTATTTTAAGAAAATTAGCCTATACTGTTTTTGACTCGTGCTTGAGAAATAATCCTGTAAAAATAGACCTCAGCACAAATGCTGAGACGTGCGTCAATGACTAGTTATCACGATTAACCTTGAGAGCTAGAATTAAACCTATTCGTTTGATGTTTATCATCATAGGTGAGCAATACAAAAATGATGATGACGCATAAAAGCTCAGATAAGCTTTTTTTTGTCTTTGTACATGTATCTGATGTGTCAAGACCTTAGTTTTTATATCTGTGTTCGTTAAATTCTCATCGGATGTTTTGTCTTGTTCTTTTTTTTTTTCATTATTTATTCTTCATAACAAAATTTGATTCGGTACGTTTTTTCTTTCTTTAGGAAATCGGAGAGCAAAAGTTGAGATGAACAAATATTATATTTCTTTAATGTCGTATTTTAATCAATCAATTATTTGGTTTGATGACGTGTCTACTGAGTTAATTTTCAATGCAAAACTTTTTCTTGTATCCGCTGTCATGTTTTTTTCTACGTCTTTTAAAAAAATATTCAACGGAATTCAATCACTATTTGTTTGTTCTGATTTTTCCTTTTTTTTTCTTGCTTTTTATTGAAGATCAAAAAGAAAAATTGCATATATATATAAATATATGAAATCTTTAAACATATATTGATTTAAATACATAGATTTTTCATTCAGTTTTTTTGTTTTTGGAAAATATTTCTCTGTCAATTTCATGTTGTTGATTGATTTTTTCATCTACAAACAATCAATGGTGGTTCCTGTTTGTATTAGTGCAACTTTACTATTTTGATAAGAATCCTTAATGTATAAATATACAAATTAACTACAATGCAATGTATTTGTTGTTAAGGTTTTCTTATCAATCAGTAAAGTAATAAGGCATGTTTATGTATGCGTATGTAATTTAAATAAAATGAAAAAAAAAGTATTTCAAAGCGAGATAATCAATGAGAAGTAAAGAAACTGTTTTGCAAAGAACTAAATGCCATCAGACGTTCTGTTCTTTTTTTTTTCTTCATTTGGTCATACTTTCCCGCACATAGACAGATAATAGAAAAGAAGAAAAAAAAGAAAAAAAAGTAAGCGTTAAAGTAAGAAAAGAAGAGCAATGAAGTAAGCAACATCCTCTTAGAATTCTTTTGTAAGCATCATGGATAGATGAATCTCTTCGTACTGACTGAAATATTTTCTTTGCTTTGTATGCCAATTTTACTTTTTCCACTGTGAGTTTTTTTTTTTGTTAATGTCGTCGTCGTCTTCCCTTTTTTTTCTTTCACTGGGATAATAAATCTTCATTATGAAAAGTAAAATAGAAATACAATGAGAGTATAGATAGAACGAGAAGACGTTGCCTTTTTTTAATGCAAAACTATGCTACTTGAACTACTAAGCATAATTAAATTGTAACAATTTTACATTGACATCTGTTTATGATAACTATCAAAAAAAGAAAACAAGAAATTCTTCATTTTTAAACTTTTGGTTAAATAATGTCCAGCATATTAATTATCTTTATCAATATTCTAATACAGCAGGTAAAGTTGTCATCTTTGAGAGGATTCAAGCCTATCTAGAGGGGAAACACTCGCAAAAAAACTGGTATACTTATTTTACTTGTTGCGAAAAAAATAATGTTCATTATCATTATTATCATCATGAAATAAGAAGTCACCAGAGATCTAGATGAATTATAGTCACGACACGTTTAGAACGCATAACAGGATAAAGTCGGAAGGAAAAAGCTGCTAACGTGACATATGTTCTTTTTGTGCAACACAGATTGTAAACTGAAAAAAAAAACTATGAGTGATACTTTACATAGATCTTATTGAGGAGTAATATCTAATTTAGTTTTGGTATTGATGAATAGGAGAAATACTTCTAATTATGTAGTTTTACCTTTTTTAAACTTTTGATTCTTTTTCTTGCTAATCAAAGTGATAGCTACTTGGAAACGTATACTAGGACATTTTATTTTTTGCAAGTAGAAAATATATTCAATTTAAAGATTGATTTTAAAAATGATTTAGTCTTTGTAATATGTTTTGTTTTTCACTGTCAACTTTACAGATCAATGTCTGCTTGCATCGACTTTACCAATGAAGGTACGCCGCCGTTGTCGTCATTATCATTTGCAGCAACGATTGGATACCGATGCATTTGTTACCGTTACAAAATCGCGTAAGTGTCGATTTTAAAAAATTCTGTTTTTCCTAAATACTTTCGACTTTATTCTTATTATATTAGTATAAATTTTCCTAAATTAAAATCATTTTTTTTTCTTCGACTCAATTTCTCTTGTTCTCTTCTTCTTTTTCCTGCTACGATTTTATTTCCTGGCAGCTCTCGGGTTTTTTTGTTGCTATAGCATTTGTCTTCTTCTTCTTCCAATTTGATGGAATAAAAGAGAGAAAATGAGGCGCTCTTATAGCCTCTTGTTTGCATTATGTTCTCGATTTGTCAATGAATTTTGATATTCGAACAGTAACCGTAGAATGTAAACAGACAATACTTGATCGGAACATGGGAAAGAAAGAAACAAATAAATACTAAACTATATTCGATTTGATTTATAAATTTAATTTTTTTATATTTTTAGACCAGTCCTAGTTCATTGATGCCCGGCTCCCGGCGTGGTTTAGTTGCGCCACAAAATACTTTTCTCGAATGTATCATTCGCAAATGTAGTGGTGCCCGTAAGTATTATTTACTTGGAACTTATTTATTCAAGGCAAATGAAAGAGATCCGAGAATGTTTGCCTACTACGATAAACAGAATATTATTCAATTAAATTTATCTAAAAATATTTCAGTTTCTCATTCTATTTTGAACTTCAATAACAGTTTTTGTGCATGATTTATCTTCTTATACTTCATTAGAGTTCTAAAATGTTTACTCAAATGAAACATTTTGATTATAAAAATTGCTTATTTCATTTGATTGTCCTGAATGTACTTCCCTTTTGTATCATGTGTATATAGCTGTCTTTCTCTCTCTCTCTCTCTCTCTCTCTATATATATATATATATATATAACGTGCGTGTGCATTGAAGAGGTACGAGTGAAATGGTTCAATGATATTTCCTGTTGCTCTTACACACCAATAATTTCCCAATACACATCAATATAAGACGAGGTAGATAGACATCGTATCGGCAAAAATGTTCTTGCGGAATAGCAAATGAGTGATCCTTTGGGAAATACAAAGAACGTGCATAGACTGTCAGTCATTCGTTTCCACATCCATATTTGAAAATATCCATGTGTGTCACATCAACACACAGCACATATACAGATGTCAAGTCTAAAAGCACCTGTCGAAAATCAAAAAAAAAAGAAGTCAATGAAATGAACATGAACATATAGAGAATTCTATCAGAAATGGTTTTCCTTGTATTTTCGGTTGAATAAACAAAGAGTTTATTAGAAATTGAAGAGTATTATTATAGGGTCTAATGGAGATTGCATGTGCAATATGACATATCATTGTTGATGGGGCATATTAAAACAGGAAACAGGATATTATTAAATATTTTAAAAACTAAGATATACCTATTTATCATATTATTCATGTAAAATATCCGTGCATGATACATGAATATTAGCATATTGAAAAACAAAAACTGCTTATATTTAGATAATGCGTTCGTTTTATCCAATGCTGAAATAGTCGACTATCCGATTGTTTATTCAAATGATGGTTTTACGAAACTATCGGGCTATTTACGAACAGATCTGTTAAGTAAAAGTTCAACGTGCAATTTTATGCATGGCGAATTAACTAATGCTGAAACCCAAACTAAAATACACGATGCGTTGGAGAATTGTCACATTGAACAGGTTGAAGTACTATTATATAAAAAAAATAGTAAGATAATACTAAAAGAGTTAAGTCTCTTTTTTATATTTCAATTTTGTTTTATTAGAAACACCCATATGGGTATTTATGCAAATAGCTCCGATTACAAATGAACGTGATGTGGTAGTATTATATCTGTGCACATTTACGGATATTACAGCACTTAAGCAACCAATTGAAACCGAAGATGCAAAAACTTCTCTCAGTAAATTTGCACGTATTGCAAAATCGGTTACACGAAATCGATCGATTTTGATGAACTTTGCTGCACCAACTACAAAATCGATAACTATTGATCCAACAAAACCTTCACATTTACCAAATGTATGTTAGAAAAAGATAATATTTGAAGCAAGAGAAACAAAAAATTTAAACAGTTTCACCTATGGAAAATAGTTAGTCTCATTAATAGATGATTTTGCATGAGAATTTTTTATATTCTGAAGCTCTTTTCACTAAATCTCAGTCAAAAGATTACAAACAATTGAGCAGCTTGATATCTAATGAAGAAGATTCATGACATTTTTGTTGGAAGTTTTTTATTCTAAGTTATGTTGTCTGGAATAAATTTTGATGAAATCGTTAGAAGATAGTATTTTTTTATGTCCAACTATATTGAATTTAGCCTATTGATTATACTAAAGCCGCCTGTAAGTGGCTTTCTTATTATTTATTTAGAATTTGAATAAAATACTGATACGATTATGATGATCATTAAGAATTTACTTTCTAGTTTTTCGTATTTAGAAGAGTACAACGTTGTCATAGTCTTAAAAGTAAAATTTTCAAAGTGTTTTGTTAAACGTTGGTAAGAGTTGAAAGACGATGCAAGATGTTATCTTCTAGAGAAAAAATAATCTTGTCCGATTATACAGATCATCAGTTATGATACGAACATTCTGAAAATTCTTATAATCTCACTGATACCTACTTGTAATCAACAAAGAATCAAATATTCCAACTCTTCCAGATTATTTGTTAGTAAACATAAGACACTGTTGTTTTGCAAGAATACTAATCACTAAGACAATTCTTTTGAAATAGCTCATTGAAATTTTTAGAAATAATTTTGATGATTACAGACATAAAGAAAACGATTTTGTCTTGATTCATATTTCTACATTATTTTTTTTATTTTTTATTTATTTTAGTTACTTAATCTAAGTGCTGAAGTATTACCGGTAAGTAATATACAATATTTTAAACTAGAATATTTAAACAGTTAATAGCTCCATTCCGATTCGATCAATCAAATTATTTTCTTCTCAATGTTACAAGAATTTTGAATGCAGTTTTGAACTAGGATTATTAACCTCAAAAAATATTTCTCGGTAGTTTTGGTGTATTGTAAGACTAGATATCTAAAGGTTTTAGTGTAAGTGAAATACATGAGACTTTCTTGCACTCGTATACTTTATTTGAAAAGCAGTTATCATGTTTGGTAGTGTTTTTAATAATAATAAATTCTATTGAGTACATATGACAGAAGCCTGTGCATTGACAAATCTATCATTGTATTAAAATATCTGTAAGTTTTCAACACCTGAAAAAATCTGAACGAAATCCATAGTGTACATAATGGAATTACAGTAATACACAATTATATATTCTTCATCTCATAAGTTTCTATACGAGAATCATAAAATTTCTCTTTAAAATCAAATGAGCGAATTATGGATAGTTTTGTTAAGGGTCCCCCCCCTCAGAAAAGCCGATTTTTCAAAAAAAAACGAAATCGAGTTTTTATCATAGAAAGATTCCCCGTGGTCTCCTCTTTCAGAATATATATAATTTTTTGAAAAAAGGTTAAGTTTTGACAGACTTATTGAAGAAATACTCTTTTATCTCCCTTACTCCCACACACCT